ACACTCTTAAAAGAGGACATGATTAACAGTGGATGTAGCTCCTCTCTCCTTCTATTCTCTGTGCTTACACATCCAAAAAGCTGAAGAATATGAACAAAGTAGGTCAAAGAAACCCAAATTACTTAAGCAGACTGATAAATTGTGAAAATCATCCTCTTTATGAGCACTAGACCGTTCGGAAAAAAAGATATGGCAAGAAAATATATCTTCCTACCATATCTCTAACAAGAAGGACAGTCAGACGAATCCAGGGTGAATGAAAGCAAAGACATTAAACTTTCTAGAAATTCCAAAGTAGGTTGAAAGCAGAAATCACAGCTCTGCATTTCATAGAAGAAACACCTTCAGTATTCTTGACCATCTAGCTAGGTCTTAATTTTACCTTGGAAGTATTTAGTATATTTTTCTGAAGCCTGCTAGGATCCTCTAGAAATATATTTACTTTTTTTTTTTTTTTTTTTAATTAAGAAGTTCATATTCAGCTGTATCTTTGACCTGATATGAGATACCATTGACTGTTCTTTTAAAAGGGACAGAAAAATTATTTAATATGTTAGGGAATAAAAAGGGAAGGAGGTAGATGCTCTCCTACTGAACTTCTACTGACTTCTGAAAATGCTAAGACTCAGAATTCCTCAATTCTCTGCTCTGGTTCAATTTGCTAAGACTAATTACATTCTCTTCCCTAGAGTAATTCTGGAGGCAAATGGAAGAAAGGTAACTCTTCTTCAAAAACGGAAACATTTAGAGTCTTGATGATATAAATGCCATTGAAAAGTTTTCTACCATTTCTCCCTGTCTCTACAGAGCAAAAAATTTTCAAGTTGAAAATGCAGGAATGTCAACATAGATTACTCAAGCTGCAGGTCACCCATAGCTTTTGTGACACACTGTTTGAGCTAAACTCTACACACAATTCACCGTATGTGCAACTTGGGCTTTTTGGAAGCATGGTAACATTTTTTTAATGACAACTTATTCCCATTCTCCCCCTAAATTAATTGCCCTCTATTAACAAACTTGTGGTAAATCAGCTCCTAAGTGGAGTAACATAAAACACACAAGAAAAAACAAACAAACATAACCACACATACTTTACCACAAATATATGCCGCACATAAGGCAAATTCAGTTTCTGGATCCGTTATCAAGTAATATCTCACAAAGTAAAGAGATAGAAAGTTTACCCCAAGAAATAAAAAGAAAAGGAACAGATGCAGCTTGGCACAGTGTACAGCACTTGACAAAGACTGGAAAGAAAAGCCTGCAGCTCTCTTTTTACCTCACCAAGACAAAATGTGCAAATAGCTGTAATCCTCTCCTCATTCGGAGGCCAATAAAACAACTGTTAATGCATACGCTATAATAATATGTTTAACAGTAAAATGCACCCGTTTGGCTTCCCCTAGGAATTTGAATTTTTGGACTTGGTGCCCAATCATCTATGTAATTTCTCAGTTCAGTAATATTAAGAGAAGCTTCCCATCTTCTGAAATATCACTCTACTGCTCTGATTGAATAAAATTAATTCTCTCCCTCTCCACCCCCAACTAACATGAAACAGATGGAAAATACATTACACTAGAAGCTTTCACGGAATTATTTTCTCCTTCAAATACCAATCACTGATTGCAGTGTACTCCTTACACACATAACATATCAACTGAACTCCACTGTGAGAAAAAGTCAAAGTTAGATGTATTGAGAATCCACTACAGTTACTGAGAAGTCAATTGGGCTTTTGTGGTTGAGGTTTTTTTTCCAGAACAGATGCAATACATAGTGTTGAAAGAACTGATTATGTCTAAGTATACCTTCCTGGTACCTTTGCTAGGTACTCTTCAAGACAATCCTTTAAAATGTACGACTTCCATACCAAAGCCTAGCACCACATACCAGCAGGCATAAGACCAATACTGAGGAAATAGGGTCCTTGAACATAAGCAAAAGAATATGCAACTGAAAGTTCAGAGACTCACCTAGTTTTCTCATGTTTGTTTCACACAAGTTTAAGACTTTGCTTTAAATTACATTTGGGATTTTTGTATATATCTGAAATTTGTCTCTCATGTATAAGCGTTATCACAAAAGGCCACTGAGGTGGCCAGGATTCTTTGGCACTCCTATTATGAGAAGTAATCAGTGTATATACAAAAAAAATTTAAAAAAAAAACTAAATAAATAAAAAAATTCAGTTTGAAAGATCGAGCAATGAAAAAGAAACACATGGGATATCATTTTCCAGGTTATATGTTTCACCACTCATGATTGTTTTCTTCCTTATTCTTCCCATCAATACCAGTTACTTACATTCTTAAAACAAAAATTTTCTGGCAACATATCGAGTACAGAGTTGTGTATAAATCAAAATTCAATTGTTTCAGTATCTGAACTCCATAAATTTCACACATGGGAGAGGAGCTGTATGCAGAAGGAACACATTATTCAATCACAGCCAGCCAATCAAGCTAGCGTAACACAGATGAAAATCCCCATGGAGTTACAGGCTGAAGAGCTATTTGGAACTACACTGTGGCCACCTACTCCTACCTTTGCTAGAACTCAGCCAGAGAAGGTATCGTTCTGTATCTTTAAAAGACCATCCTATTGTGTTAAGTTAATTCAGCTGAGCTTTAGCAAGTGTGAGAGAAGAATCAGACTTATGCCCCTCCTGACAGAGCACAATGATCTCTGTCCTAAGTAGTCCCAAAGAAGTCATGCAGCATGCCAGGTACAAAGTATTTGCAGAAGTGAGCCTTCAGGTAGGGCTGCAAAGGCTCTGGGTTAAGGAAGCACTTACCAACTTCCTTCTGCTTGATCTGTTACACAGCTCGACAGTAACAGATAGCCAGTTGCATGAGTGTCAGTGTTCAGATAAGTTTCTCTCAATATCTGTCACAAAAACCAGACACTGTATCAGTGTGCCAGCTGTATTATCGGTCACTACATAGTTAATCATACTTAATAACATCCTCGAGCACAGACATGGCACACAGACAGCAATTACTGTGAACCACAGTCACCCAGATCATTCTGACTCTGAGCTGCCAACTCGGTGCACTCTCGACAAGTGCCTGCCTACCACCTTTTCCCTCTCAAACACATTAGCTTGCCTCAATATGGGGCCAGAGTTTGTTTTGAAACTCTTAACAGAATCACTGAAAGAAAAGAGGAAAAATACCATAAATGATTCCCTGGACTGTTTCCAGAGGAGCGTGTTCTCTGAGCGATTGCTTTGGAAGCAAGCCAAAAATGGGAAGTGTTCTTGCAAATGAGCACGCTACTATGCTCAAGTACAAGTTATCATTTAATTCTTTTGACAGCATCAGCATGGATAGAAATTAAGAAGCCTGTTTAATAAACAGGTTACCTGAATTCCAGTTACCAAACATCAATTTCTTCTCTATCCATCCCTGCCATGCTTACTCAGCTCCTGCCCCCCACCTACTTCCCAAAATAAAGTGGTTTCTTTTTTGGATACTTTCTCTCCTTTACTGAAAGTGTAATAACATTAGTATATTAATTACATCAACCATAACAAGGTCTGTAACCAAGAACAAGTTAACTAAGAAAAGAAATCAGTCCCTCAGAAGAAAATATTCAAAAACCTCAAAACAAACTTCTACAGGACACAGCAGTTAATATTTTTAACAGATCTTTAATACCGTCTACTGAATGATTATGTCCAGACAGTTTTTTACATTACAATTACTCCTAATGAGATCACCTTCTGCAGTGTATAAGACCTCATCCCTTCCCAACAGAACAATTAAAGATTTGTGTGGGGCTATGGAAGTCTCAGATCAACTCCACTCACTTCACCTTGTACTGAATTTCCTCATAAAAACTTGTCAACAGCACAACTGTTGTTTTTTTTTTTTCCTGAGGACAAATTATTGTTTGCTTTGGTTTAGGGTGTCCTTAATCCTCTACAGATTCTGAAGTCCTCATACAGGCACATCAGACCCACTGACTGCTGTCAGCTTTGGTTTTGACATTATGTACATTTCTCTTCTTCGTAGATTTGTGAGGGTTTTTTTTCCAGTTTCTGACTTATACCATTTCTCAACAACAAATGTCTGCCTATCTTGCAATATGGTGATATATAACTCCTTGTGCTATTTGACAAAAAAAAAATGATAGACCTTGTATTAAATGTACATGAAAATACCTGTCTTCAAACAAACTGCCTGTTCTCTTACTTTTACTCTAAGCAAAGACAATGAAACATCCTCTCTCATGCTAAGCAGAAATGTCTTACGGTTGAAGCCCCAGAGACAGCAATGCTAAGGATACATATCATTCTAAGAACACAGCTGACTGAATTAGTATGAACTAGAAAGTACAACTTGGTAGTCTCTGATTTGCTAGTACTTTAAAATAATCACCATGATCCTACAGCAAGCCAAAAGTTTAGTTTTATGCAAAAATATATTGTGGAAAGGAAACAACAATTTTTATTCTGAAAATTTAATATTCTGTTTGAAAGATCTATCTTGTGTTTGAATTCTTACACACTTCACAAAAATCTCTCAGTTTTTACTGTGTGTGTATTCTTCCCATTATTAACCACATCCCATTCTATTTTACTACTTTACTAGTTTCCTTAAAATTCTGTCATAGATCATCTGAAAGAACAAAGTATTTACCTACTCATACCTGAAGTTATTAATACAGTGTTCTGTGATAGGTATGACTTGCTCAGCTTTACCAAGAAGCACAAGAAACCACACCTTAACCAGTTAAAAATGTTAGTCCTGAACCTATAGTTATACTTCACACAACTTCAACTTTTTTTGTTTAAATTTGAAAATGCAGTATGCAACCACGGATTTCCAGAATCGAACTGGCTGACTGCTTTAAAATAAACAGTGTGAACTTTACAGATTGAGGATCCAAAAACTTTAAAAGCAGGTCAACCATGTATTTCTCCTGAAAAAAATAAAAATTAGCCGGTAGAACATGACCTATAATTCATAGCAAGTTGTGTGTTTACTTACGTTCACACGTGTCTCCTTTCTGCTGATATCCTGCTTTGCAGATACATTTTCCAATAGGCACTAACCATTCTCCCTCCGCGCTACAGTGCATCTTCGGCGAGTTCTCCGCCTCCTCCTCCGCACTGCTGACACAAGTTCCTCGCACTTCTACTAAAGAGGAAAACTCTGAGCCAGTCACTGTGTCAGGAAAAATAGCTAAGTTCTCAATGATGGACCAGCACTTCTTGTAGTAGACTTTGACAGAGACCAAAGCAATGCAGGCCCCTACATCCTGAAAAGCAAGATAGAATCCTTTTTTGGACAAAGGTCCAATTTCTCTCACCTCTGTGTTAAGTTTCATTTTTCTCTCCCCAAGATCACCCTGGGTAAAACTTTCATCTGCTGCAATAGTGTCTATTTTTACATATTGGTTTTCTCGGATATTCCTGCCAGTGTCGTAGTCTGTTTCATAATAATACAAGTTAAAAGTTTCTTTACAAGTCCCCAGAACTCCAGGAAGACTGTTACAATCCCTCAGAGTGAATTTCAGTTCTACAAAAATCCTTTGTGCATTGCTTTTTGCAATCCAGTTAGTCCGAAGCCAGTTGTTTTGGTTTGATTCCATCACCTGGCATACCTGGTATGTTCGTATAGGAGTGTAGTTTTCATCCAGTCCACTAATTTCTTCCCACTAAAATGATAACAAACAGTTAGTAATATAACAAGAAGTATGTCACCAGACGTAACTACTGTGTATTTTAAAAAGCTTCATATAACACATCTTCCTCCTTTATAACAGTAGGCTATCTTTAAAAATACTCTTAAGCACCTAAATGAAGAAAATACCTATTAATGCAGCAGTAGGCTCTCACTGCCTCCATGTCTTTTCCACATATAAATAACTTCCAAAAATCATTGTCATAACATGGGTAGAGTTGCAAAGGGGAACCCTTAGAAAAGGCTGTTTAGCATATCAGGTTCTGATTACACACTAGGCTCATACACATTTTGTTAAGGTCACAATGGTTTTGGGTGAGCAAAGACTGAAAGGAGGGAGGCAGCTTCTCTTTCAAAGAAACCTAAAACCAGTGAAGTCTCATAAACTGAAACTGCCCAATGTTACAGTACATAAAACTTGTCAAACTTTCAGTGCAGTTGTATAGAAAGCATGGGATCAAGTCTTGAAACTTGTGAGTCAGATGATTCTCACTCCTCTATGATTAAAGTGGCATAGAGAGAAGGCAAGAGAAAATGACAGAATTAAAAACCTGAAAGCAAGAAAACATTTTGGTTGTCCCCTTTTGGTTCAGGCCACGTTCTGTTTTATTTAAAACCAAAGAGGTAAGCGATAGCTCCTTCTCATCTCACATTTTGTCCAGTGGCTGCGGCCACATTAAGAGGAGCAAATTTCATTTAGTTCTAAATTCAAATAAGCCATGAGATTACATACAGAACAAAAAACAACCCACATGACTGAAAGTTCACTGTTTCAAAGCCTGGGTCTTGTTGATGTTCCCTCTCTTGGTTACCAACTATGTAACGAGCTAGTAAGCCTGTAACAGCCCTGGAGTCTTTAACAGCCCTTAGTAGCGTGGGAATTCACATCTCCAGCAATGGCAAACCTTCCTCTGAAATCAATCAGGCAGATCTGCCCAGGTGTAACCAAAACAATATCAGTCTCTCACCGTTTTTTCACATTTCTTGTAGCATTTAACTGACTGCAGAAAACACAGCTGTAGTAAATTAGAGGAGGGGGGTGAGCTTTCCTCACCCCATGATACAGGCAACCATGACTTCTCTGTATGGCACTTGGCCCTCTGGCCCTGTGTCAATAATGCACTTAAGCTCATGCTTAAGATCAGTAAAAGTACTTACGAGCTTAATGGTAAGCATGTGCTTAAGTACTTTGTGGGACTAGTATACTCAGCACCTCTGCAGGATGGAACATCCACTGACATTCCTTACACAGGCAACAAAACAAGTGTGGAAGGCACTGGTTTACCAGACCAGGAGTCATACGGTATACAACATTTTGCAAGCCTATTTGACAGCAAATGAGATCATTTTAATGTTGTTGCCTGCTCCAAGAAAAAGCAGATGTGGCTGATTTGATGCTGGAAGTTATCACCACAAAATATATCACAGCTGCAGATGCTGAAATGCACAGAAGTTGTAAATATCAAAGCACATTTCAAGGGCCAACAGTTAATATAGATTTTGTATATATGGTATTATATATGCATACGGTATTAAATGATTGAAATACATTATTAGATGCTCATGAAGTTAACTGAAGTGACTGCACATGGAACTGTATTAACTAACCTCAGAACAAAAGAAAGTCTATTTTCATAAGAGATTTATTAGGTCTGAATGAGTAATATTTTTTCCACCTTCGTACGGACTAGTATAAACAAGGAAAAGTAAAAAAGGGATCCTGGAGTGACAGGATTTTAGCTGTGTCGCAATAATGAAAAACATCTCCCCTTCAAAAAAAAAACAAAAACAAAAACAACAACAACAAAAAAAAACAAACTCCAAACAAAAAACCACAATAAAAAAATCCCACTAAGATGACATAAAAGGCATAAAAGGCATAAAGCCTAAAACTTTACTGATTTTCATAGTCTCCATTTCATATCAAGTAGTACTATTTGCTTTGGGGTTTCTTTGAGTTGGTTGGTTTAGGGGTTTTCTTTGTTTTATTTTTTATCTTGTGTAAGCATTCTTCCCTCCCAAGACAGATTCTGCAATGAGATATTCAGTTAGACAATGTATTGTATCTTCGAAGTGAAAGTAATTCTAATGCACCACACAACAGAATCTGTTTCCTTGGATTTTGATGTGGAATGCTTGACCAGAACAACCCCCCTGTCCCCTCAAAAAAAACCCAAATAAACTGAAACAAACAAACAAACAACTAACAAACAAAACACATTTTACAAAATTTACCTATTTTTAGTAATACACCACAAGTGAGTTCTCTCAGAGTCAAGATCCCACTACATGAGACTAGCTAGTATCAGAGAGATACTTATGCTACGGTCAAGGAAAACAATACAAAAAACTAAATTCACACAAAAAAAGTCCTAATTTTTGCTATCCCTAGCATTAACACATTAAATTTTTTTTTTTTTCTGCAGAGAAAAAAAATACATTAGTACTTTAGGATGTTGCCACCTATGGCATCTGAGCTCAAACTTCATTAAAGTCTTCTTATAGCAATCAATTCTATCACAGCTTTTACAGCAAGAAAACTCAACTTTTCTTTGTCCAGCTGCAAAATATGGTGATATATGATATTGTTCCATTGTTCTATTGGTTTCATGTTATGGCATTTTAACTTCTTAGTTATCTTAACAATGTTAAATGTAGCATTTGCAATTGAATGAGGCATTTAACGACTGTCTGACATATTGCATACTGTGATGATGCAGTAGTTTCTCAAGAAGATTTTCTGTATTTATTCCCATGAAGTCTTTATTGCACAATAAAAAATTCAATAATTAAAATTTACATTATTAAAATGGTACTTTTACAGTAATTTACAGGCAACTTTCTGAACATTTTCATGCATACAAATTCAGCCACGAGTTTTGATTCACTTTTAATTCCTGATTGAAATTGGCTTTTACCTCTGAAAGTTGCCTTTTACTATCTGTTAAATTTGACTCTACGTTCATCCTTCAATATGCTGACATGTGTAACACGTGTTGACATGTCTTTCATTATCTACACCTTAGCCTAATATAACTGCCACCAAGCTAATCTTTCAAACAGCTCTGGTAGAGGCTTCAATCAGTGCAAAACGCTAATGCCGAGGTTATTAGCCATCATATGCGTTGAGCTCACATTACATTCTCTCTGAAGTCCTTAGATTAGTTTCCAGTTTATGCTTGTATTGATATTACAATCTTGCTTTTAAAGAAAGACACTTTCCTATTTTCATTCTTCTTATTTAAAGGATTTGTTACACTTTCATATCCCCACTCACACTCTATGCTCTTCTGGCTCCAGCTTTAATGCGCTGAAGATTAAGGGACTGATCCCCAAAATTCTTGCTTGTGCAAAGAGTCACAATAGATTCAGCAAAACTGCTTCCGTGAGTAAGAACTGTTCATATAATTTATGATTTGTCAGACTGAGTTGATGTAGGACTGAGCCAAGGTAGGACAATACACCCATTATATCTTTCTGAATAGGTTCTTCCTCAAGGCTGGAGGAAGAGGGGGTTTTATGATATAATTTTTAATTCAGACTGAAAGCAGCATTTCTCAACTTTGTATACGTAATAAGTAAGACAATAACACTGATGTTCCTAAACATCTCATTTTTTAAAATAGTGTATTTTACAATGGTGCATTTCATATAGTGCCTTTAGATTAATTTGTAAAGAAGCTGGAGGGGGCCTTAACCACATAATTTGTGCCTCATTCCAGATATCAGGTTCCTCAAGACTTGGGGATGTTTCAAGTTTGAAATGTCATTTCAAACACATCTGTAATATACATGTTTTTATTCTAGAGCTCTTCAATCTGTGATATTCAATTACAAAGAAAACATCGTAAACAAATTTATGATCACCCCTTCTACAGAAAGTGAAAAACATATTTTTAGAAAGTTTCCCTACAGAGGCAAATCTGATGTTTCTAAAGGAAGAAGGAAAAGATTGATTTAAAATATTGTATCATAAATAGGCAGTGTAATCATTTGTACAGCACAAAGAAGTACACTACAAAACATACAGGTACCAAGAACATTTAGGTGAGTTTCTTAAGAGACTCTTGCTTTAAGTAGCGTGTACATTTGTACACTGTAACCAAGGTTTCATTCTGAAAATGAAGAAGCCATAAACACTTGGTATGATTACTGAGAGAAGTATGAGGGAGAGCTAGTTCAAAGCAGGTCTTTCAACTGCTACAGTAATTACTTGTCTCTAGGAACTTAGTTCTTGCCTGGAGTACTTACCCCATTGGGAGGAGAGGAAATCCATTCCAACTCTGTCTGTTGTGCTTTAGAGTCCAGCAATATTACTAAAGGAAAAAAAATGAAATTCCACAGTTTACTGAATATAAGAAGTGGGAATATAAAACTAAAGAACAGAATCTGAATTTTAAGAAGTGATAGAATGAATACAAATTTTGTAAAACTAATAATTTTTCTTCATATTATTAAAAAATTATCTGCAACCACAACTATGCCTTTATTTGTAAATAGATGATTAAAAGATTATGTGGCATCCACATATAAGCAGATATACACTAATCTTTACAATTTCATTGCTTAGAACTAAGTGGGGATTTTTTTAGTACTCTAAAGTATTACTAATCAGTCATTAAGACGCATGCTCTCTCCATCTCCTTTGCCATAAGAAGGACATTTCCCATATGCTGGTTATTTCAACCAGCTTAAAACAAACAAACACACACCAACATTTCAGTATTTCCAAACTGATTTAGACAGGACTGGCCTGTGCATTACTGAGAGTCACGCTGAAAAAGCAATGATCTTTTTAGAGTGTCAGAGTAAAAAATACTTCCATTAGATGATGAAATAGTAATTCGGTAAACAAATGACAACAAGGAATATAGAAAATAAAGGACTGCAGTTACCTCAAACCTCGCATTCACAAAAAAGAGACTAATTCACTTTATGATAATGGCCTACTAAAATCTTCATGCCATTATACCCCCATGACATTTCTATACAGAAAGACATCAGTTCTAGTTGCATTACAATTATTTCCAGCCTAATGTAACCTCTCTTCTGAAAGTGGTAATTCACAGTCTAATAAACCAACTCTTTAGTAGCATTTCTAATTTGAATCTATTCCATATATCTTTAGCTATAATGGTATTTATAATTCCATACACATTTAAGGACTGATATATAAATGTTTGATTTAAGGCTGTAACTTGAAGCAACTTTTGTCAGGTCTTTTGAAACGGCTACAATTCTGGCTTTGGCCCTTTCTCCTAGCATAATTGAACACAAAATTTCAGTGAATTACTAAAAAGATGAGATGACTAAAAAAGGTATTTAAAGGTTCATACAGTGATTGATATATGGAATATTAGCTGAACACAAAATGGTAGCTTCCAGGCCTGTATTTCAGTAATGAAGTGGAACTACTCATTAAGGAAGTTTCATAGTCTCCCTCTAGAAGGATTACCTGCTTATTTCATTAAGCTCGGATTCAAGGGGCTTTATTTTGTAACACTTTCTATAGTAAAGCAGATGCTGTATGTGGTGGTTTGTTAAACAAGAACATTTATAATCGTCCTGAAAAAAAGGGCACCATGAAAAATTTAACCATTTCAGCACCAGCACAACACCCCATGGCTGCAATTCATTATACTTTTTATTTGGCAGTAATTCTCCATCACGTAGCAACGGATGGGTACATCTCAGAAAGAAAATACAACAAGCAAATAAGAAAAAAAAAAGGGGGGAGGGGGGAGGAATAAACCAAACGCACACAAACTACTGCTCTGCAAACACTCCTTGCAAAGGAATCGTGGTGTTCCTTCCGGCACCCAAAGTTACCGGGGAAGAGCTCCCCAGGCCAGCGGCTGCTGCCCCGCTCCCTGTCCCGGGAGCCCTGTGGCAGTCATGGCTCGTTCTGCAGCGCGGGGAAGCGATGCGGGGGGACGTAGTCCGCAGCCTCCCGTGAACGGAGCACACCGGGATCCCCGGTGCGGTGCCCCCCGCAGGGGAGCTGCGGGCCGAGAGCGACTGGAGGCGGCGGGCGAAGCGCGGGGGCGCGGCCGCGGGAACGGGCTCCGCGGGGCCCCGCGCAGGGCGGGCAGCCGCCTCTCGCCCCCGCGGGAGCCGCAGCCGCGCTCCGGGAGCTGCGCGGGGCTGCGCTCGGGCGGCCGCGCCCCCGGGCCGAGCAGCGGGGCTGAGCCGCAGCGGAGCGCCGGTACCGCGGCCGTCCCCGCCACACCCCCGGCAGCCACTGCCTCGGGGAAAAGCGCCCGGGACGGCGGCCCCGGCACGGAGACCCGAGCTCTCGGTTACACACATTCCCCCGCCCCGGTCTTCCCAGGGGGAGCGGGCCGCAGTGCCCCCGTGCCTGCGCTGGCCCCAAGGGTCCCGGCCAGGGGAAGAGGACTCTGCAGGTAACGCGGTCACTCCCTCTCTTAGAGAGCCAGGCAGACCCTGCTCCGCTCCTCTCCAGTGGCTTGTATTTAGATACAGAAAGGAAACTCGCAAAACTTTTCGGTGCTTCACCCCTTCATCCCTCTTCGGTACCCAGCGGGGAGCGGTGGGTAACCGCGCGGGGCTGCTGCCGCCACCGGCCCTTTGGCGGGGCTGGCAGTGAAGCTGCAAAGTTACTTTTTTCTTCTTCTTAAAAAAAAAAAAAAAAAAAAAAAAAAAAAAAAAAAAAAAAAAAAAAAAAAAAAAAAAAAGAATAAAAGCTCTCTCTTTCTTCCATGGGAGTTTTCTGCGCTTTCAGCAGGTAACTGCCATCAATCCCTGTCTGCCGCTCGCCCCCTCCTGACCCTCCTTTGGATAGGTGATTTTCTCTGAACGTACAGTCATTATACACCCACACTCTTAGGTATAGATGCCTACATATCCATCCATACACGTATGATTAAAAACGGGGCAGACTGCCGCCGGGGAGCACCGGCGCAGCCTCGATCACGGAGCAATCCGCAGGGCAGAGCGGGACAGACAGCCACAGTCTCTCCACCTTCCTCCCTGTCCGTCTGCCCAGCCCTTCTCCCGCTCCCTACCCCACGGCCACGCGTTAATATTCGCCGTGTGAGGGTCTCTGTGCTTTACAGCCCCTTTAAATAAACTTTCAAAATGCTGCTAGGGAAAGGCTCTCCCTTCTATTCCTCTCTAACCTCGCCATCGACTTCTTCTCTTAAGGGCAGAGGACATTTTAATTGAGGCATTTTTTTAAGCTCCAGTTACAAGCTCAAAATTATATTTTACTGCATGCCAGCGGCTTGATGAAAAATATTGACGCATCCAGCTGAAGGGGGGGGGAAGGTGGGGAGAACACAAACGTATGCATATGCAGAGGCACCGAAAAAGCCCTGACTCCCCCTTCCCTGTCATGTCGTGTCGTGTGTGTGTGTCCCCCCTCGCTCCCCCGAAGATGGAGACGGACCTTCGGCTGTCAAACGGGAGCTAGGGCGCTCCTTTAAATCATTTCGGATTTTCTCAGCGTGAGAAAACAAAATCCCAGATGGACTTTGTGAATTGATTTTAAACACCTCCATCAGTCTGAAAAACTGCCTGGTTTGTCTCTGCGCGAGGGGAAACCCAGTGTCCGGGGTTCGCCTTACATAGATATCAGTGCTGGACCGATGGAAACCGGGAAGCCCCGCTGTGATCCTCAGACGGTGTAAAACGTCCATTCCTTAACCTCTCTCCCTCTCTCTCTCCAGTGATGCCGGGGCAGAGCACACACGTTGCAAGGCACACGACGCCAGGCCGTATGTACCCTCTAAATACATGCCCAGCTGGCATGGCCGGGAAGTGCGAAACTGCCTCCGATGCTCCTTCCCGTGGTCTGTGACCGGCCCCAAGGGGCCGGAGCGCTGCGGGCCCCTGGGCGGTAGCGGCGGGGAGCTGACCCGCAGCCGAAGCCCCGTGCCGTGCCTTGCCTTCCACGAGACGTCCCAAGCCCTAAAACTCGGCCCCTGCCCGAGGAGCAGCGAGGTAACCCGCCTTCCCGGAACCTACCTCCAAGGGAGGAGGAGGGCTGGAAGGGGACAGCGAGGCACCCCTGCACAGATCCCCGGGCCGAGGTCTCTCCCCAACCCCATGCCGTTTCATCACGTGCGAATGCCTCCCAAGCCTCATTCCTAGGAGCAAAGGCAGTTGTCCTGGTCTCTCACACATACACACGCACACCCCCACCAGTGAATGCCTAGGTCTTTCCTCCATCCTATCTCAACTAAATAAAGTCTTTTTTTTTTTTTTTTCCCTTTAATGGGGGCTGACATGCAGCTGGCAGGGGTAGGCAGGTCCCGCGCTGAGCCACTACACTGACTTCGTGGGCAAGAGCAATAAATAAACCCAAACTTTTGTTTTCCGCATCACCTTACCTTCTTTTGCAGCCTGTGCCTCCCCCGTGTGTGCAAAGCGGAACAGCCAGACGGAGCACAAAATAATCCAAGAAGGGAGCCTACTTTGGAAAGCCATGGTGCAGGAGCGGGATGATTTTATATTTCTAGCTCTGTATTTCTAGACACTGCCACTGCCGCCGCTTCGTTGGTGCTAGAGGACGGTGGAGAATTTGCTGTGCTAGTCTGTAGCTCGGCGCTCCCTCCCTCCAGGCTGCCTTTCTCTTTTGTCACCGCCTCCTCCTCCTCCCTCTCCACCGCCCCCGCGCCGCTGCCCGGCTCCCGCTCCGGGCCGGCCGCCCGCCAGCCCCGACTGCAGCCCGCCCGCCCGCGCCGCGCGGCGATAATATCAATGAAGGCGAGGGGGCGGGACCGCGGCGGGCGCGCGGCCCGTCCCTCACCGTGACTGACAGCCCGCGCCGGCCAAACAGCAGCGGCTCTCGGCGCCCGCCGGGCCGAGGCGGCGCCTGAGTGGTCGCGGCCGGAGGGGCGTGGCCGGCGGCGCCGGCCAATGAGCGCGCGGCGGTGTCGGGTGTCCGCGGGTGCCGGAGCCGCGGGCAGCGCGCGGGGCGCAGCGCCGGGACGGAGGGGCCGCGACGGGAGTGGCTCCCAGTGTGGGGGGCTCCGGGGGTTGTCCCGCACGCCTGGAGGCCGCCGGCAGGATCGTCCTGCGAGCGAATGGGACGGACGCCCAGACGAACTGACGGACGGACGGACGCACGCCACCCCCCCGCAGGGTTCTGTGTGTTCTCCCCGAGCCGCAGCCGCCGGGGTAGCGAGGGAGAGAGGTCCCGACCGGGGTCCGGCTGCAGCCCCAGCCCGAACCCGACCCCCCTGAGCCACCGCCGCCGGCGGGTCCTGGCGCTGCCCCCGCGCGGTGCCCGCCCGTGGCCGGGCTGAACGCGCACCTGGGCTGCTGCCATCGAAAGGGAAACTTAGGCGGGAGCTGCGGGATGGTTCCCGGAGGCATTCCCGTAATAAAAATCAAGTTCCTCGAGGTGGCATCACCTGGGCTCCCTTCCCTCTGTCTCGTTGGGGGTTTTAGCCCCGCGTCTGCGATTTGCCTCAAATACGAAGAGCAGGCTAATGACAATATAGTCATTATTTGGAGAAGAGAAGGAGCGGCTGCTTCCCCTCCGCCCCCCGTCGGGTGTAACCTGAAGCGCGTGTAATCCTCCAACAATGTGACAATTTAAATAGGAGAGGGAGAAAAAAAAAATAAAGTAAAACCGGAGGGAGAGAGGAACTTGCCAAATCTCTTTTGTCAGCGTTCTACCACGGACCGGGAGAGCTTTTCCCGGGATTCTATCAGGCCCCCTCCCCTTCGCTTTCCTTTCTCCAAACCCACCCCTCGCTCCTTCTGATGAGTGAAACAACTGAGGGACGGACACGAAAACTTACCGCTGCCCGAGCGAGGCTGCGGAGCGGAGGGTGGTGAGAGGGGCACTCTCGGCGGGAGCGCTCCTCTCCCGGGCCGCCCCGGGGCCCCGCATCCCCCGCGGCCAGAATCGCTGGCCCCAATCCCGCTCCGCGCACCCCCCGCCCGGCCCCTGCCTCCGGCTCTGTCCCGCGCAACCTTCCCGGGGCTGATGCCGAGCAGCACGGACCGGGTTTTCTACTGCTCCGCTAAAAGTGCATCGCCATGTCCTTTCGGAGGGTGGATATTGCGATGTAAACAGCATAAGTGATTATCATCTTGGAAGCAGGCGAAGGCAGCGAAGAGCGGGGGGTGTAATTGCAATTCTGTGGCAAGATTATGCGGGAATCTGAAACAAGCCTTGCGCAGATGGGGACGCTGATATAGAAAATGTTATGCCAAAAATGGAAATTTAAATTGGGGGAGGTTTGTTTATGGAACCTTTATAGGCAGATAAGGCAAAATTATTATTATTATTAATAATAATAATAATATGACAACAATAATAACAATACTATGCTCGGTATTGTCGGATAAACAGCCACCATACTCCGGACTTTGGGCACTTCCCTGTGGGCTCCTCATTACTTCCGAGAATAGTGGGGAGAAAGCCTCAAAAATGTACTGTATTCCTTTCAGTTGCTGAATAATTAATATGGCTTAGAATATGACCGTTTTTGCATTTCCTTCAGAATACTCTGTTGATAGGTCGGATACCGTGATAAGTGTAGGCAAAGTAAGGGCTCTTCATTCTCTCATCCTCTGTCATCTGTCATTCTCATCCTCATGCGTGTGTACTCAGAAAAGGGAGCTGTACAGAACAGTGAGTTTGCTTACCTTCTTTTAAAAAGGCTGTTTTGTTTCATAAATACTTGCATGCAGGTATTTTGTAGCTTCTTGGCAAATTTTCATAGGTAAAGCTGTTTTTCATGTGGCATATATTGTGACAGTGATTAAAGTGGATATAGGAAGTCTTCAACCTAGTTGGTCCTCCATAATTTCTTAGCATGAAGTGCTGGCATTTCACTACAATGTCATTAATCCAAAAAAATGAATTTTTTAACCTACAGAATGTGCTAAAAAACCCCAAAGAATTGTATTTACTCTTTGAATGACTATGTTCATAAAAATGCAGAAACTTACTAAATTAACAAATCAACAGAAAGGCTCAAATGGTAACGAGATATATTCATATCCTGCATATAGTGTTAGGCCAGACACTCACTTTCATCATCACCTGCATTTATACAGGTTATATTGTACAATATTATACAATCTAATATTGTATGTGTATAATACATGTATAAGAACTGTATACCTATAAGGTACTTAAAGGTATGTACATATGTTAACCACATAGGATGTAAGGTTATAAGTGCACATGGCTGAGTGTATAAAGAAATAAAAAAGAGATTTAAAAAGAAAAAGTGTATATTCCTCTTCACGATCAACTAATTTTAAATGCCCTTCCTGATAGTCGTAAATTGAGCTAAAATTGAGCTAAAAATGACATAGTATCTGTACTGCTTTGTTAAAACAGTCATATTCATAGGCACACCAAAATAATTCGTATACATTGAAAGTGTCTGTTAATTTTGGGGTCTTTTTTTGTGCTTCATGCACATTAAATCTTTGTGAAATTGATTCAGAATTTGAAAGCCTTATTAGTGAATTTTAAGGATTTTTCCCTTTTCCTCTGCTTATTTGTAATGTTTTGTAATACTTCAGTTATATTCTGTAGGACGCACAGCCTGTATTGCATCTCATCCAACCGAGAGTTAGATCTTCTGCAAAGAAAAATAGAAAAGAGAAATATTACAATTGAACCAAAATACTCAAGCTAAATGGCCTACAACCCTCAGATTTGGTAACAAAACTTCTGAGAGAAAAAGAAAAGAGAAAAAAAACAACTGGGAACTTCATTCAACTCAATGTGTTACAATTCAGACACCACCAAAGTAAATGGTTAACTGAAACAGAACAATGCTATTCAAGATACTTATGTTCCTTTATTATTTTATTCTGTTTTGTCCTTTTTTTTCTTACTCAAAGTCTGTATGCCAGATTCTGTCTCTTGTTTTTACTTATAGTTAGAATGACTTCCTTGACATTACCAAGCTTCCCTATGCTGATATGAACTTCATACTAGCTGCGATTCACCATACTGAATTGCAGTGGTCTAAGCAAACTCTGGAGATATATTTAAATAATTTCCCCCTTAAAATTGGCTAACTCTATCTTCAACACATAACTCGATCTGAAATTCTGATACAAGGAATATGGAACGAATTCTGAGGCTATACAAGCATATGTAAGGAAATGAGCATGGCTTGAAAATGGTTACAAAATGCTGTTTTTACAAATCCCCTTTTTGCAGAAATCACACATTCTTTTTTTGCTCTGTGCAGGGCTGAAGCAAAATTTCAATAGTTTGAAAAAAGTGTTAAAGGTTAGCCTCAGACAGAGTTTCTGTAAATGGTATTGAGCTTGGTTCTGTCCACAAGATAAAACTAGTTTTGACAAAAAAATATTTGAACTGTGTTTTACAGTAGCAAATGTAGAAATGAGGCCTATGTAATAGAAGAAGATATTTTAAACCCAGAATTTGCAGTCTTAATCTAAGCAATCTTTGAACAGTTCTTTATCTGTGCATAAGATTTTCCCACGAAATATGAAGTACATATTTTTGTGCATTTTTTGTCAAATTTTGTATATTTTTTAGTATAAAATTCAGTGGCATCATGACATTTGACTTATAATTAATAGATGCATAACAAATTATTTTAACTGACTTTGCATTTAGTCTTACAAATGTAATGACACTTACATTCCAAATCTGATTTTTCCATACAGTGTCAATTTCAGACTTTCTGGTAGATTTATAAGTCAGAGTAGCTCTATTATAGTAAATAAAACAATGTATTAAATAATTATTATTGTTTCATAAAGAAATTGTAGAGAATTGGGACTGGCTTATTGAAAAGTGTGTTCATATAAAAAATTCTTTTTCTAGATAAAATGTCCGCTTGGTTTTGTTTTTTTTCTTTAAACTATTTTCGTTAACACAAATCAAAAATAGTTCTATAAAGCTCCACATTTAAAGTCTTTACTTATATCAGTATGGTAATAAAAATTCACTGTCAAATTTTCTCTTGGGAGATTTAAAGTTATACTCTGCTAAATAGATACCTAGATCATGTTTTCCAAATCTATGAATGTTCAATACACTTTGAGAAACACTGCCCAGAAATAAAGATAAGAAGGTGTGTCATCTTGCCATTTAATGGAAATGAAATACATTCCATAGAACAGTACAAATTAAATTCATGTTTAGCATATATGTGAATATGAAATGCCTCTGCCTTTCCCAAGGAACAAGTTGTATGGGGTCCAAAAGCATGCTTTGGTCCTTTGAGACTACTTCCCCTGATAAACCTGAATTTGAAAACTCTCTTACTGAGGAATAAGGGGCATTGGAGAATATACCGCCTCTTTGCTGACCATTCTTCAGAGTCTGTTAGTATATCACATTGTGTGGGACCTTCCTGTGGGAAGCCTGAGCAGGACAAGCCAGTGCCATCATCCTGTGATAGCATCTGGAGGTATTCTGAGAGGAGATAATTTCTCTTGCTCACCTATGCGTTAAAGGAATGTCTTTGAGCCCAGCTGCAGCAAGAAGCATCTGCACATATAAGCACATTGTTTACTTCAATATTCCGTAAGATTCAGTTTCAATTTTCCTAGGATGTTTGTCATACTAAAAATTGTGTACAGAAGAGCCTGACCATAAGGGCAGCTAATTCATATTTTAGTTGTAAGTAGCAGATAAACTCTAGCAATATGCTCCAGTGAGGTTAGTATCTTCCTGTTCTCATTCAG